GCTGTGCTTTTCTGAATCTCAGCTAGCGGTTGCGAAATGAGTTTCTTGCGGTCACCAACCTTACCTTTTTTCTTTCTAGGAAGAATGTGAAGGAATGAGTTACCATTTGTGATTGATTGGGTACTGTGGTCGGTATTTACAATTATTAGCTGTAAACAGAATGTTAACTGTACTATTACAAATATTTTGTTCACAGTTTTATATCATTCTCGGGTAACTAACCAACAAACTTAGACTAGATGCTAAAAGTGTGTCTTATCAGTTTTGAATTTTCTACGCACTGTAAAATTATTTCGACATTGAGCATTGTCATTCTGTGGAATTCTCCATTTTCTAAAGAGTTTTCAGCTTCGTAAATTTAAAATTTGTAATAATTTGATTGCAGGAGGTAAAAGAAGATAACTGCTCAGTTGTTATGAGTAAAGAGAGCTATTTCATACCTATCGTGACGTGAAGATCGGCTGTTTTTTTTAGAGCAGCGTTAAAATTAGTTCTGTTTTAGGTAAAAGGGATGGGGGCTCCACAGCGGAGACCAAGAAGGTGGATCCCAGGTGCCGATCAAAATTGATGGCTCTTGAAAAGCAAGAGCAAGCATTTATACCGTCAGTCAAAAAATAGTGCAAATCGTGGTTGGTTGAGGAAGTCAAGACAGCCTGTTCTCATCTTGAGGAAGTAATAATTAAGTTGTAGCTGACGCTGAATTATCATGAATTTCAGGCTCTCAAAAGATTTTCTTGTGAATTTCAGACTATCCTAAATTCTTCTGTTTAAAAAGTTAAAAATTCACAAAATTTAAACTACATAAGACTGAATTCTAACTTTCAGGAGATTGTGGACAATCCTGGTTAGACTGTCTGGACGTAAGGCACCTACGAACGTCAGAAGATGTTCAGGTCATCTTGGTTCCTCAAATGGGAGAGGTTGTCGACGCAATTCGTTAAGCAACTCCCTCATCCTTAGGATAAATCCGTACGGAATTGTACGGATTGCTAAGGATGTTAAGATGTGGTAGGACGAGAAGTGAAGTATGCGCTGATAAGACAGCGCTTTCGCCAAGGGTACAAATATCTTGGAATAGTGGAAGACAAGACTAGTGCATCTACCCGTGGAAGCTATGATGAAGTCCAAGCAAAGATTTTAGTGAGAATTGAGAGATTATCCAAAACTGCACTAAATGGCAGGGCCTTTATCAAGGCTGTGAGTGAGCACGCCCTAAGTTCAATGAATTATTACACTGGGGTGCTCAAGCTGGAGCTAGAAGACTTCAGATCTATATACCACGATATCGAGCAGTTACTATACAAATACGGAATTCACCAGCAACCTGCAAGCTTGGAAAGACTGCACCTGCCAAGAGAGAAAAAGAACGTGGACTTCATAATGTTGAAGGGAAGAAACGGACGTGGACTTCATAATGTTGGACAGAGTAGTGAGCTTATGCTACATAATGTTGTTGCAGATACCGCACCCATATCTGCATCTCATTCGATACTCGTTATGGGTTTCATGAGAACGAAACGAAAGCGATCAGCACAACAAATCTGAGTGCAGGGCATTTACTACCAGAGTGCTAGAATACGATCTAACGCCACAGTCAGTGAAGTGGCAAAGAAGATTAACCTTCGTGTGATATTGGAAAAAATTTTGTATTTAAAATTGTATGTGTGAACTGTAAGTGTTCTTTAAATTTTTGTCTTCTTTTTTCCGTGCTTAGTATCTGTTCTTTACAAAACTCTTATTATATTCTTTAAATATTCCATTTTTCTCTACTTTTGGTAAATTTGTTATTATTTGACTTAAGAGGGCAAATAGTATGTATTTTGCTTAATATTAAGAGTTATGTGCTTGAAAGCACTAACAGTTTGTTTTGTTTGTAGATTTAAATGTATGTTAAAGATTTTTTTTCTAGATTTGATTGAATGAAGCTGGAATTGTATAATAAAAGCAAATAAAATTGTTATTGTTGTCCCATTTTCCGGTACAACAGTGCTATATTATTCATAAGACTGATCTTTATGATTGTAGAAATTCCTTTCAAATGAATATGTCGGAAGATAATAACACATTAATGTAACTAGTAAGACACAGGACTAAGATTTGTGAAGCAAG